CAATGGAGGAAGATCTGCAGTGCTAGTTTCAGGCAATGGCACAGGAAGAACCGGCAAATGCGTGTTATTGAGTATTACGAGAGTCGTCTAAGCGCGAGCTATAGCCGGATATATATAAGTAAGTAGCTTATAGATTAAGGATTATGCCCGGGCGAAATAATAGACAAGCAAGAAAAAGAAAAAGAATGCATCCATCTAAGCCAAGAACTCCAGTATAAATGAAGCATATAGTAAACGCGACCGGAGGGTTTTTTTTGTTAGCCGCGCTTTGGTGGAGACAGTCCCGAATGATGACATTAAAACAGCCACAGAAGGCAGACAGTGGATAGAATATTTCTCATTAATCACTTATTGAAACCCCTCATATAGTATACGGACACCCTCCTCTATTAACTAAGAAAACCGGCGAATTTGTTTTCTAGTCAGGAAGTCTAGTCGCACGAGGAGTGAATGAATGGGGGCAATCTGTACAACCTCGGGCTCTATTCAATACTTTCGGCACTTGCCCTGTTCATGGTTGGCCGCTCATTGAGCTCAACGGTATGACAAGTTCCTGCAAACAACCTGTGAGGAACTTTTTACATCATCCCATCTTTTAAGCGTCTGATTGGGTATCGTGACTGCTCTGACGTCTGCGCAACGGTTCGTTAAAGAAGAGAAAAAGAAAAAGGCCAGGCAGTATTATGGTATAAATGCAATAATAAGCAGATGACTCTCACCGACACCATCTTATTCAGAGAATCATAGATCCAAGATAGGCGGGTTTCCCCTTGTAAGTAGAAACTGAGTAAGAGACCGTGCTGGCTTGATCTCCGCGTCCTCTCCTCTTGGAACTGGGATTGATTGCGGGGTACAGTAGGTGTACAGAATCTAACAAGCAAAGTTCTTCTCGTAGGTATCTCGGCAATTGGTGTAAACAAAGAACGGAGAATCTTGTGACTTAACTTATGCACCCTGATGCGCAAATGATCTAACTTCGCAAATAATGAATAGTGCACCCGGCATCGCTCGGTTTCGTTCGACCCCCCTGCCAACCCGACAACTTGCCGTTTCGCAAGATCGGAACGATTCCGACGGGTGCAACCATTGGGTCGGTAGGGCTTAATGGGGAAACAGCTGAAATGTTTAGAGATATCGCCATTCCGAAAAGAGTCAAGGAGCTCACAAGGGCTCTAGACGGCACAGAAAACATCTCAGCCTCTATCTAGATCGCTCGTCCCTCTGAAGTCTATTCTAGTACATTGCCCAAACCGAATGCCTGGTTCAAGAGCAGCACGTGGTACACAGAGAATGAGAGTTAAGCCACCTTCGCTGTGGGCCAGATGAACAACACCGCCCCCTACAGGGCAGCCTCGCGCGGCACTCTTGATGGGAGTGTGTTGAATATGAGTCATCAGAGGTCGTGGATACACGGACATAGACGAGATTGCGTTCTGACGCCCTGTGCAACTTAATCGATCGATTTGCATCAGAATGTAAGTGCTCTTGACCCAGTCTGCCCGAGTGTTACTATACAAATGCATCCCTTATCAGGACTACGTCGTCAATAATAATGACGATGGTCACGGGCTCATAATGTCTCATTCATTGCATATTCTAATGAAGTTGTTGCCTCTCTCCATTTCTTACCGTGCTACCTCTTGCCTCAGTTGTAACTTCATCGAGATAGGCCACCGCTCATCAGCATACCTCGTGACCCTTTCTCGTTATAAGTCCTCTCGGTTTCGATCACAGCCTATAGTACTATCTCATCATTAATTCTGGTAGCTAGCTCCAAGTTCAAAAATTCAAACCCAGTTTTAGTAAACGACCTACTAGAGTTCGCGCCTTGGGTCTATCTAATGTCCCAACGAAGTCTAAGGTTTGAGAAGACATCGTCTCTGTATTTCCGCATATCTAAACGTGTTGCAATTACGCAAACCCGATTAGCCATCAAGGGCCTCAAAGATGAGAGCTATCAAAGGTCTCGAATATGAGAGCGTAAAGTTCAGTAATAGCGTAAGGTTTTCTTGTGTATGATTGCTTAGATTATGTATTTTGCCATTAACTAGAAAGTATAATATTTATAAGACCTCTCTAACCTTTAGCCATAGGTAGTAGACTCTATGACGAGTCTCGCAGCTTTTGATAACCTGATATATATATATTCATAAGACAATTATTATTTACTTCCAGTTATAGCGCTGCCTAGAGAGCGAAAGATTGACAGAGGTTATCCCCGATTTCGTGATGTGACATCTGCGTCGGGTGGTAGGTGTCCTAACCATTTAGTTTCGTCCGTTTATTTGACATAATACTAACCCATTTTAGCAAGATAAAAGCAATACAAATGTGAATTATCTATTATGAAGAGCTTGAAAAAGCTGTATGTCATGTGTGTCATGTGTCATATGCTATGAGTACGTGTAGTCTTAAGGGGCGCAATCACATGCCATCTCCGATCAATCACAAAGCTGCAATTAGAAAGAAAAAAAAAATTAATCCAAACGGACTCAATACCCCTCCATCCCTCTCTCGTTACCATAAGCTCTTTACTAATTAAGCAAGGGATAAAATTTACGACAAATAACACGTATCATCTATCACAAGTGTTACTTTATTTAGCTGTTACACGCTACCCATCTTGCGATGAATGGCCGACCGTATTTAGCTCCAGTGCGTCTAACGCCGAGCTGCTTCCGATTGCTTACAATCCGATTGCGTACAATCACTATCCTTCTCGAAAAGCGATGTTTGTGTAAGCCGACGGGTTTAATCTGTCTGGTGGGGCGGTGCACAGAACGAAACTGCTCAACTTTGCATGCTAGCTGTATGACCTCATATACTCCTATTAGGTTATGTGTTTTAATGAATTAAAAGGTAAAGCTTTTCGTGTACTAGTCACTTTGAAGATGCTAGGAAGTCATTTGAAGTCGTTGATATGGGGATGAATAATCAGTTCTTGTAAGACTTTAGCCCTGTTAGATCAACTATACTGTATATTTCAACATAGTTTAGTCCCCTAATAGTCTAAGGTATATCGAAGTCTAAAGACTTCGCCGTAGCATTCGACCTAAGCAACTAGAGCCGTAATGTTTACCTTCCCCTTCCCCTTCCCCTCCCACGCCCCCTCCCAGCCCGGCCGCCTCTCTTCGCCCTCGGGCGTATGTTCGTGTTTTGATAAAGCAGTTCCTCACCGAACGCCATCTCGCCAAATCGCATGTAGCTAATCATCCCACGGTCCACGATCGCTAGAATGGCGTTTCGCCATCCGTGCTTGAGACGCTTATAAACAAACCCCGCCCCTGGCTTCTCTTCGTCTCCTGGGGGGTCCCACGGCGTGGATAGGAGCAACGTGTCTAGCTGCTCGAGTGTCGGGACGCTGGACTCGCGGGCATCTACAACGGCCATCTGAAAGTCAGGCGGGGGCGGCCTTGTCTTTATGAAGGATGATGTGGTCTTCCAAACGAAGAAATGTATCTTGAAGGGGTCTTGGGGTTGGGGTAAGTTTGATGTTGAGAAGGGACTAGGCTTGTGACGCTGTATGAGGGCTAGTCGCTCGAATATGGGCACATATGACCGATATAGACCCGGCTTTACGAGCGGCCCGTATTCTGGGTAGTTAGGCTGTAGAGCGAAGGGGTTACTTGTGTTCTTTAGAAGTGAAAAAAGCCACTGCCAAAGTGACGGGGCCGTTTGTGGCTGAGGTAGTATGGGTGCTGCGCGTAGGATCCTATAGCCTGTACGTTTGAGATTAGAATAAACCTGATATTTCTCGAGGCTAATCTTCCCCCTTTCTCCGTCTCGCCCGATAAAGAGCGCATACGCGGCTTGTAAGCTGAGAGGAACGCCGAGTTCGTAGTCCTCGAGCTTCTCTGTATTTAGATTCGACGCCTCTGGGTCCTCGTCCGCCGGGAAAATCTCCTCGATTCCTCGAGCCGGCCACCATAAATCCAGCGTCCCTCTCTCGATAAGGAATAAGGCTTCTTCTGGTAGTAGCCATGTCTTCAACCACCCCGGACTGAACCTTTCGGCGCTCGTAACGACGCGGCCCATTGACGTTAGCATCGTACTCCGCTCTGCTTCGAGCGCAACGGTTCGTTCCCTCGCGAAAAGGCCCTGGCTAGAACCCCGAGCTTTCGGCGTTGTCTGATCGCCCGTCTGCTTGTCTGTTGTAGCATCACTCGGCGATTCACTCTCCGATGGCACGTCAGCCCATCGGTCGGGGAAGTACCATCCACGCAAAACGTTGCGCGGCTGGTATTGACGGGTATAGCTCAGGACTTGATGCATAGCAGAGCGGCTAGACTCGAGGACGCCCTCCTGCGCTCGCGTGCCATGTGACTCGAAGTCCTTCTCGCCGCGCCGTATAGTCTTGCCGGAGGCCTGGGACTTCTTTCCGGGGCTCGCGAGGAGCGAAGTGAATAATCGAAAGTCTTGAGCCTGGTCGCCGTCTTCGGGGTCGAAGGGGCCATCATCGCTGATGGAATTGAGCGACGCAGGGGTCAGGTCTTCATCGTCGAATGGCATCTTCGGGCTTGAAGGAATTGTTATAATAAGATGGTAAGTAGACTGTGATTATTTTGGTTCACGAGTGCTTTCCCATTGCTAGGCCTTCCATCTACTTCTTTGTCAAGGAGCGCTCGAGGTAGAGAAATGAATAGCTGTACGGCGCTCTTGTACGATAATGGGGAAAATCAAAACTTAAAAGTCGATGCTACAGTAGAGCACAAGAAGTATCTCTACCCAGGTAGTACCCACAGGTTTCTAGATATACCCATGTCTAGTAGTGTATCGAGAGGGTCTAAATACATGCCCCGCTATATAACAAGAGCTCTGGGTCATGACTGACGAGATCTTCGGGCTGTAATCGATTTGTGCTGGATTTAATATTATATTCCCTTATTAATAAAACGACGACTGGCGCCATGCGGCTGTGACATTTAACATTATCTGTGTTGAAGCTGCTGCCTATGGGGGAATAAAAATAAGAAAATCACAAAACGAACAAGAAAATAAATTGAGAGCTGCAGGATTCGAACCTGCGCGGTTTCCCACCGCGGGTTTATAGTAAACCAAGAGAAACTCTTGAGGAATACCTAAACACGGCGCCTTAACCACTCGGCCAAACTCCCATTGATGTTGTAGGTAATGGCACTACTGTCCCTTATAGCTACCGGTTGCTATTGATAACGTAAAGATAAGCGCTATCAAAGCATAAAAATCCTCAGTGACATTTTGCAAAAGATATGTGACAAGAGTGGGATTCGAACCCACGCGGGTTGCCCCAGAAGAATACTACCTGTTGTACAGGTAAGGATTTGTTACCCTTGAACCTTCCGCCATAACCGCTCGGCCATCTTGCCATGTTGCTTGTTGAATGACTTGGGGTGTAATTACCTTACCATCTTGAGATCAAGAGAAATGGCGGAACATGTGTGTCTTTTTATCCTAGGCCCAATTGGTTATTTATTTCCTAGATTATGATGAAAGAGATCATGCTTGATTAAAAATCTACCGAGGTATATTATCACAATATTAGATGGATGCGCTACTCCAAAACTAATATTATAGAAGTTAAAGAGCAAACACCTTTTCTATAACTCCACATTGCCATTCAATATCTAATTTGTGTCTCGAAGTGTAGGTAACTAGATAGACGACATCGTCCTCCCTGACTCGCTCGGGGTATTGCATCGCTAGGAGTATAGTAAACTCAACTCTCTCTTTTAGTAGTCCAGATATACTCTTCAATGGGCTCTTTGAAAAGAGCCCTAGGCAGTTCCAGAATACTTCCACATTCAAGGACGCCATGAACCACCGTGCTAAAAAAAGGCCATTTCATCTCGACTTCAGTCGGGGTTACGAGTGACTCGTGGTTGTATGATGCCTGCGGGAAAAGCAGATAATTCTTGTTGTATCCGAGGCCGCTCCCTCTCATCAAGCCGCCTGGAACACCGATCATTCCGATGCACCTATAGTCCTTCACGAGTATGCCTCCCTACCTTCAGCCGTCCGCAACGCCCTCAACCTATATGTCAAATCGATTGTCGTACCTCATACCTCATATATTATTTAAAGGCTGGGGAGAGACGAATGATTAAGATCCTTTCTTTTGTCCTCATCCCTCAGTCTTTTCTCCCCATCATAGTCGCAAGTTCGGTTTAGTAGTGATCATGAGAGAATGACTGTCGTCTACCCAAACTATTTCGCCTTCCCACAACGCATACACTTAATGTCGGCCCTGACTATCAACGAACTTCCACAATTAAAAGTGCCTGAATAGCAGAGTAGGTAGCTCCGAGTCCTGGAGCCTGGGTGATAGAGGCTGGCCAATGTCATACACCGAATATTGGCCGTGGCTGGAGAGCGTGGCACAACCTGCGATGATGCTGGTTGTAACTGGGACAAGCAATCCAATCTCTTGGCTGGTGGGAGATGATTGTAGTAGGTATCCGAAGGCCGGAATAAGCACTAAGTTGGGTGTTGGCCTTTAGCGGAAGCTTAGGGGCTGTAACCAACATTCCCTGCAGACGAAGGCTGTCGTTGCTGGTAATCGTCAACCACAGCCTGCTATCTTTCTATTGTCATTTCGATAAGTAAATCGCACCCCGCTCCTATTCATTCAATTAAGGGCTTCTTCTGCCCTCCTACCAGGCATAGCCCTAATGTGGCTAGGGCATTATCGTCGCTAGCTAATACAATATTCGCAGCTGGCAGCATAGGATTGGCTTGGTCTACAGATGAAGCATCTTTCGCAGCCTGCTCGATGGCTTCCATCTCTTCTTTACAAGCCTGGTGATCTAAGGGACAGATCACGATAGGTTGTCGGAGAGTGATGTCTTTAGCTGAGTTCAGGCTCGCCTTTTTAAAATGAGTCGTTAGCATACGTATATATACTGGTATCGGAGAGATCACTGCGCCATTGCGGCGCATCCATACCTTAATGCTCAAAAAGAATTCTATTTTGTAGAGAGTCGATGTCGTGGTGAAAGACGTGACCCCATAATTAGGAAACGCCGGTTGCCCTCTCCGAACAATTCCGTTCGCATCCCGCAAGTCCTTATGCGGAAAGATGACGCCCATATTCGTCACATAGCCCTCTTCAGGCAACCTCTTGCCAACGTTCTGCACGTACTTCTGCAGCCGGTTGACCTTCTTTGTCGGTTCGTCGCCCTCGGGGTTGTAGGTTATCTCTTCCTCGATTGCCAACGTAATACTCTTTACTACAACTTTCCTGGCCTTGGCCATCCAGTCGAGATTGGGAGCAACTTTGATGTAGACGGTGATTGGGTCCATAGGGCCATAGCTCCATTTCGGTAATGATATAACAAGTGAAACGATATTGTCCATGGTTTCACATTTAGTCTCGGGGCGGTTGTACATCCCAAAAGTCGATAATGTATCGTATCGCTGCAATGGGACTGGGAAAGCGTACTTATTCTGCACACTTGAGCCCTGCTGTACTGTGACGACTAGCTCGTAAAACGTTTCGGCAGTCCTACTGGCAAGCTGTAACGATGCCGGCGGTATCCTCCTATTTATCTCTTCGCCTCCCCGCCCAAAGGGTATAAACAAGACAAAGGGCAGATCCATGGCCACGACCTTTTCCGAGTCCTTACCAGATGCGCATCGATATAATAACAGCTCCTTGCCAACAACGTCCGTGGTCTCTCGTCGGGGAGTGCCAAGATGGCGTTTGGCTACGTTTTCCGCGGCCGGGTGGATGGTCTCTCTTCGTTGCAGGCATATGCGGACCAAAGAGATGGCAACAGGCGCAGAAAACCCTTGCTGTGGGCGAATTTCGACCTTACCCTCGATACGTGGCTGAAGGCTTGGTGTTAGTATACTATTCCTCATGGTATCACCTTTAGGGTATGGATAAGAGATGTAGGAAGACGCAGGAAGCGGCGTCACCGAGCTCCAATGCGACAACTCTCTAGGGACATAGAAAGACAGGCAAGACAGCATCATGCGACAGTCAACAGCCCGCAGCACTTAAGCCCATGCGATCACAACAATGATGCACTTACTAGTGTCGCTGAAATGCCCGGGTATCCGACCAATATGTTACTATTCGGCGGGCCCGAAACACGGACGAAGGCGGCCACTCGATCATTCATGTTTTGTCGCACAGGGTATCGTCATCAAGATCGTGATGCTAGCGAATGTGGATGGAACAATGGCGGGGTTAGGACTTAGTGGCGGCAGCAACAGCGGCGCAGTGTCGACCACATCTATTCCGCGCCTGCGGCAGTGCGCCGGTGGATTGTCGAGAGCAACGCAATGGCCGGATCGTCCGTGTCGGTGAGGCTGGGTCGATCTCCACAAGACTGAGTCGGTGTGAGTACGGAGGACCGGCGAGGGTGTCGAAGAATTGGGGATACCTTGTTATCACCGTCGTGGGTGTCGTCGGCAAAGGTCTACCTAGATATGTAGGCACCTCGATACTGTCTATAACAAAGGCCAAGATGCAATTTGCGGGGGCGAGAGAGAGGGTCGATAGGAAGCTGAGTCGGGATCTGTACGTATCAGCCAAGCTGGTAAGTGTGTTTCTTTGGTCGCTCGAAAGCGAATAGGATGACAGCGAGGGCGAATGTGGCCGATATGGGAACAGGGAGAATAAGTGTGTTGACTGAGTGATTGATTGATTGATTGATTGGGATTTAGGTTTAGTGTAGTTAGTTAGTCTCATCAAGCTGCAAATAGCAACACTCCACCACCAAGGTCAAGGTACCTAGGCTACCTAGATGCTGGAAGTGTAGAGTGCAGGTGGCAGTTAGCCAGGGGAGCAAAGAACGGGGAAAAACAGAGGGCTAGATGTGACGAACGAGTACAGTAGGTACCTACATATGCGCAGTGCACCTATCAACTCTTTCTAGGAAGGTCACCACCCTTCCAAGGTTGCATCTACTCCTCACCACGCACAGGTCTAAATAATCGCGTTTCTTTTGCAGCACCAAAAAAAAAGGCAATAAATACCTAGACAGCGGGGCGACAACAAGATGTTTAGGTAGGGAGGGCACCGAGGAAGAACTAGGGAGTTCTAGGTACAATAACAAATTTATGAAGATAGGTCAGGCGGGTACGTAAGTATAGAGAAGTAGGCAGTGGTCCTGAAGAATAGATTTTAGGGGCAATACATACCGAACCTACCTAGGTAGGTACCTAGGTATGCCGCAAGTGGTCAGGAGACCTAACAGCTGAGTGGTAACAATACCTTATGTCCACTAATAACAGGGCCATACCTGATGCCCGTAGCCCGGACGAATACCTATTGTTGATTCCACAAGGTTTTGTAAGAAGGCGATCAGGATGTGTACGTAACGTGGAAATGCTGCCAGGGTTCCAGGATCTGGCTCTAAATTATAAGTAGATACCGAGACAGGCTAGGGGTTAGATATTTAAACCCTAGTCAACATCATACAGTACATAGTAGGTAGAAAGGTAAGGACATACTTATACACAATCATAAATCAAGTCCATGTGCTTCTATGTACTATATCCCAACAACTAGGCTCTTCGGTGCTTGGCTTGATTGGGACTCATAATAAAGCCGAGTGAGATAGCTGAGGAACATGCCCAGAAGCTGAAGTGATTACATATGCCTGCCTGAACTTTGGGTCTGACAACAACTTTGATGGTCAGACTTAATGGCTTTGAGGTCTAAGCTGCCTACATGTATATTGAGACGCTTATCCGCCCTGTAGGCCCGGGGCGAGTACTGTATGCAAGTCCTTCACTATTCGTCTTCTTGTCAAGTGATCATTAGGCCGCAACCCCTTAGAAACTTTGTCTCTAGTCTATTGTATTATTCTATGACATCTATGATTCTATGTCATCATATTCTAGATACTTTCTGGGACCCTACGGCGCCTTCACACGTGGAACTGGGGGGCTTGTGGAACTCAATCTCACCCGCCTTTGAGCATGTTCCACACTGTGAGGCGATTCCCCCCCCAGCCAGATCTGGTCTAGCCCACATAGTTACAGTTAGACTAGGACTTTTGAGGTTCAGGGACCAGGGCCATTCTACATACTGTATGGCTGCCGACTTCTGCATGCTAACAGGGTTGCCCAAGTCGCGCGGAAACCTAAATAGGGCTGACTTGGCGAAATGCTATGCTGTACAGCGTACAGAGTATTGCCCTACCTACCGGCCACCAATATCAGAGTTTTGGCAGATGCAACTCTGTGTGGATTCTTTGCCATTTCTGCAGCCAATGCTTTTTAAGACCGTATATGCAATTTCCCTTTGTCTGATATAAATCTTGTCTTACGAGGAGCTTTCGTCAAAGTGATGTATGTATTCGATGCAACATTGCGTACAAACCAATCCTGGGCTGTATCACAAGAAGATTGAGTT